ATGAATGGAATGCAACACTTAAAAATGTAAAAAATCGAGATTCATGGTGCCCCATATGTGCTGGACGTAATCAGACCAATTAGGATATGTAAAATTTGGCGCAGAAATGCAATGGGAACTGTCTTTCTGTTAGTTATAAAAAATACGCATTCTAGAATTGCTCTAAAGGAAATATATGGAATGCCATATTTGCTAATGTAAAATATCATGACTTGTGGTGTCCTTTTTGTCAAAATAAACGTGAAAATATATGCTGTGAAATTGTAACTAACTATCTTGGACCACCATCAGAAAATTGCTGGCTGGATTTCTTAAAAACACCTAAATACTCTCGAGGGTTACAACTTGATATATTTTATCCAGAATATAGTTTCGCAATTGAAGTTCAAGGAGAACAGCACGAAAAATATATAGAATTCTTTCATAGAGGAGACCCAAACAATTTTATCAAACAGCAAGAGTGGGATCGACTCAAGGAAGAATTATACGAAAAGAATTAGATTGTCCTAAGGTATATTTGGTATTATGAAGACTCATACGTAGTAATTCCGGAGCATCTTCGAGAATTGGGTCTCGTTGAATAAACTGGAAACTTTAAATGCTTTTGCGATTCACTACTTTTTCAATTATAATAGCATATACATTTTTTTTTATTATTCTAATGCACACACGCGATTAAAAAAATAAAGCCCACGTCGGGCGAAAACTTTATTATATTCATGCATCCCTATTCTTTGGGCCTGCTAGATTTGAAAACAAATGCTATTTTTTCTATCTTAATGCTAATACTAAATTTTCCACCCACATATTCCGCTACCAGATTTCCGATAGAAATTGTCCAACTATTCCTACAAGACAGACTATTTCTATAGCTCTCACCAAGAGTATTCCTGAAAAAAAAAATTCGAGTAAGTAATCTACAAGTAGTAGAACCGAAAATAAGACCTCCCATTTTTCTTACTTTTATACTTCGTGTTCATGATCAATCCCGCCTTCATAACGAGATATTTCAACAAGAAATTAGGGGGATTGGCTTCAAGTTTTTGTTTC